AGAGCCAGAGGTGAAGAGCTACAACTCCCATCATCCCTGACATCCCTGTTACAATTCCTCCTTGTGCTCACAAGAGAGGAGGTGAAAACAGTAGCCAGCTGCTTCCCAAGCAATAGGGGAACAGATCCTTGTTGATTGCAGTGGGTGCTGCTTGATAAATGGAGATTAGGGGACTTTCACAAGTTTCTACATAGCTCCTAAAATAGGGGCTATATAGAGACCATGAATATGTAACATCACAAGTGTATAACTCCAGGTTACACATCCATAACTGCCATACAGGATTTCATTTTTCTATGGGTAGTGAAGTTTGTCTTATGGCATTATAATTTTCATTCACAGTATCTGTAGTCCATGAACATATATGTGGAAATAACTGAATTAGTCACAAAAGATTAGTCACAAGATTCCTTTATCTTTTTATGCTGAAACAGATTCATATGTCTATCTATCCATAATGGGTCTTTAAGGATATCAACTCATAGGACAAATCAGAGTAAGAATAATCTTGGAGTTAGCCTTATTCTTTCCCCCTCTATTTCCAACCACACATCTAAGTCTGTGAATCTCACACAAGCAAAGCCTGATTTCAAGAGTTACAAAGATAATGGGTTTCATCAATCCAAGAAGTGGTAAACTTTACTTGATGTGGGATTAATCAAAGAATGTAGCACTTGCTAGAGTTACTGATTCAATGGGCATTTAATTCTTACATAAATCTCCTTGGTTCTCTGAATCTACTCTGGTTGGGACTAACAGTTGTTGTAATTGTTAACTACTCTAATCTTCGAATACATCCTATCCTATCCTTTACTTCCTATCCTTCGAATACATCCTATCCTTGTTGTTGTTGCTGTGTATCTTCTATGTCATTTCCAACTTATGGAAATTCTAAGGTGATTGTATCATGGGGTTTTCTTGGCAAGTTTCTTCAGAGGGGTTTGCCATCCAAGGTCACCCAGTGGGTTTACATGGCTGAGCTGGGATTCAAACCCTGGTCTCCATAGTCTAAAGCAGTGGTCGGCAATCTATGGCCCCCGGGCCGGTTCTGGCCCAGGACGCCGGACTTACCGGCCCAGGCGGACCCTTGCCACTGCTGCTGCCCGTTTTCGTCGCTGTGCGACTGCGCGCACTGCGGCCGCCATTTTGTTCTCCAATATGGCGGCCGCGACGCATTTGCACATGCGCAGGATTGTGCATGCGCAAACACAGGATTGTGCATGCGCAAACACGCCATGACCGCCATTTTGGAGAACAAAATGGCGGCCGCGGCGCGTGTGGTCGCGCTGCAACGAAAATG